CAGTCACACACTCACAGGCAGTCACACACTCACAGGCAGTCACACAGAGACAGTCAAACACTCACAGGCAGTCACACACACACAGTCACACACTCACACAGAGACAGTCACACACTCACAGGCAGTCACACAGAGACAGTCACACACTCACACAGACAGTCACACACTCACAGGCAGTCACACAGAGACAGTCACACACTCACACAGACAGTCACACACTCACAGGCAGACACACAGAGACAGTCACACACTCACACAGAGACAGTCACACACTCACATAGAGACAGTCACACACAGATAGTCACACACTCACATAGAGACAGTCACACACAGACAGTCACACACTCACACTCACACACTGACCTCCTTCTTCCCTCCTGCTTGCAGTTCCTGGAGGCTGGTTGTTGGGGAAGCAGGGACTCCTACCTGCTTCCCATGCTGCAGTCAGCCAGGCCCCCGCCGCACGCTAAGCCCCGCCCCGCCGCACGCTAAGCCCAGTTAGCCCCGCCCCCGTCGCACTAAGCTCCGCCCCCGCCGCAATTTTATTATTTTTTAATGATCCCGGCCGGCCCTGTGTGAGCTGTGCCGGCCGGCTCCCCCTGCTCCCATGGGGCTCTGTGCGGCCGGAGCTGTCAGCCCAATGATTAGGGCTGTCAGACCGGCCCCAGGTGCCGCGGCCCACCGGGAAATTTCCCGGTATCCCGGTGGGCCAGTCCGGCCCTGATAGGGCTTCTGCGCATACAATAAACTTTGCTGATATCAGACAAAGTGAGACAGAAAGGGGTGTTTTATAATATTATTGAGGCTTGCCTTGACGTGGCTGGTGAGCTTATATATTCAAATGGCCATTTAGAATAGAACTAAAGAGCCTCCATTTTTGTTCAAATGCACATGGGGATTTAGGCCAGAGCGCAGGTAACGTTTTTCTTTGTTTTTACTCATTATATATAGATAACATTTATTTATTTTTCACACATAGCGCTTGGTTATTTTTATAATTGTACCATTCATCTTAATATAGGTTTTCCATATTCACAATATGTGATTTGTATCTCTCTATACAACTTTGGTATTCACTATCTTTAATCCTAATATTGGTAGTCATTATATACTGGATGCACTTATGATTCCTCTTTTCCATTTTGAGTATATAATATGACATCTTTGAAAGCTAGCACAATTTTGAGGAGTTGAACACCATATGGAATATATTATTATTTCTCTAGTACTCTCTCTGGACCCTTTTTATTACCTTTTTATATATATATATATATATATATATATATATATTTTCCATCAATTTTTATTATTACCTTAAGTTATTAGATCATTATTATTATTTTTTACATACCATTTTTAGTATTACATTCATTTATTTTATGCTTTTAAATGTATGATGCTATATAATATATCTACTAATATGTATTGATGTATATGCATTCACTTTTATTAAGTTATCAGTTACTGATTATGATGCTTATTATACTGATACTTTTAAATTCTTGTTTTTTTATATATCTTTAATGTTGATGATGCTCTCAGTATACATTTATTTATTTTTATTATATTTGCTGTCACTAATGTTCCATTTCAATTAGTACAATATGTATTTAAGCGTGGCTACAATATCAGCTTGTATTACGTCTCTGAAGAAGTGGGGCCACTTCCCCACGAAACGCGTTAGACAACAAGCATTATTTTGAACTTTGTCAGAAACCAGCAATAGAAGTATTTACTCGCTCAGGACCCTTGGTGAACCTGTGGACTCAAACTATCCGTTGTGCACATCCCCCGGAGTGAGGTCCGTGTTGGGAGACACAGATTGATCTGCACACCGTCCTCAACCAGCAGTCAGACTACAGGGCACTAGCTGCCAGTTCAATCCACATCCATCCTGGCTGATTCCGAAATTTTGCAGACTTCATTGGACTGGTAACATATATCTGCATATGAACTGACCATTATTTTTTGATTAATTCATATTTTAATTTTCAATAAACTGGACTCTATATTTTAACCCAGTTTTTCTCTCTCTACATTGTTTATATGTATCCACGTTATATTATTTATTTTAGCACACAGTTCCTCATACTGTAGTGCTTCATTTGCAACTTTGTCTATACAAAGTATATTATTTAGGTGTAAGTATAAACTATCTGTTATCCTGTACCCTTTCAGGGACAGTGTGTTACTGCACCTTGCATTGTGTGGAACATTATTTAATTATTCATTTTTTATTTTATTTATTTTTTCCTACCATTTGATTTATATACTGTTTTTATATACTTTTTATGGCTATTTTTTTAGAACTTATAAGTTGCATCACTTAGTTCTATCGCCGATTTATTGATACTCATTTCTCTTAAAGGCATAGCACACATTTTTATTGTTGCATCCCTGTAGTATTTTATACAGTATTTTATCCAGCATTTCATATCCATATTTTTGAGCCATATACTAGATAGCTCCTGGATTTTTTACACATTTTCTCATATACTCACAAATGACTCATTTTTATTTGACTCCACCCAGCTTCCCTACCTAGAGTTGGAGTGGAACCTTTCTCTGGGGTACAGTGTGGCAGCTCTCTAATCGTCCTGCAGTTCTTGCTCTGCCCCCCCGTGCAAACTTTAGTGATGC